CCTCCCTTGGGAAAGAGTGATCTCGTCTTGTTAGACATTGAATATGCTATAAGATATCATCTAGAAGAAAATGGGGACATTGAAACCGTTGATAAACTCAATTTAAGGAGAGGTCACTATGGGGAACTTCAAAATTTTTTTAATGAGTGTAATTGGACAGACTTGTTGCTAGGCAATCTTGAGGTTATCTTGAGATGATTTCGGGCTTTATAGTGTCCCCGCGGCCCGGTCCTTGACCAGGCCTCCACCCCCAGGAAGCAGCCCGTGACAGCTGACTAACACCCAGGTACCTATTTTACTGCTAGGTAACAGGGGCATAGGGTGAAAGAAACTCTGCCCATTGTTTCTCGCCGGCGCCTGGGATCGAACCCAGGACCACAGGATCACAAGTCCCGCGTGCTGTCCGCTCGGCCGACCGGCTCCCTGCTCGGCCGACCGGCAAGGAAGTAAATAAAATGTATGCCAAATTTTGCAAAATATACGAGGAAGGCACACAAACATTCATACCAAAACAGAGATGCAGGGCCAGAAAACAGGATTGGTTAAACAGAAATTGTGAGAGGGCCAGACACCAAAAGACACAAATGGAATCAGTATAGGAAGAGGCCAAACCCACAAACATACCAGCGATACAAAGATGCGAGAAACAACTATACAGCAGTAAGGAGAGAGGCAGAAAGAAATTTTGAAAATGGGATAGCAGATAAATGTAAAACAGAACCGGACTTATTCTACAAATTCATAAACAACAAATTGCAGGTAAAGGATAATATCCAGAGGTTGAAAATGGGAAACAGATTCACGGAAAATGTAAAGGAAGTGTGTGAAACATTAAATGAAAAGTTCCAAAGTGTGTTTGTACAAAATGAAATCTTCAGAGAACCAGACACAATAAGAATTCCAGAGAACAACATAGAGCACATAGAGGTGTCTAGAGATGAAGTGGAAAATATGCTAAAGGAGCTCAGTAAGAACAAAGCAGCTGGCCCAGATGGAGTTTCACCATGGGTTCTGAGAGAATGTGCATCTGAGCTCAGCATTTCACTTCATCTGATCTTTCAGGCATCCTTGTGTACAGGAATCGTAGCAGACGTGTGGAAACAGGCTAACATAGTTCCAATCTACAAAAGTGGCAGCAGGGATGACCCCCTCAATTATAGACCTGTATCATTGACAAGTGTAATAGTGAAAGTATTGGAAAAACTAATCAAAACTAAATGGGTAGAACACCTGGAGAGAAATTATATAATATCAGACAGATAGTATGGTTTTCGATCTGTAAGATCCTGTGTATCGAATTTACTTATTTTCTATGATCGAGCCACAGAGATATTACAGGAAAGAGATGGTTGGGTTGACTGCATCTATCTGGACCTAAAAAAGGCTTTCGACAGAGTTCCACATAAGAGGTTGTTCTGGAAACTGGAAAATATTGGAGGGGTGACACGTAAGCTTCTAACATGGATGAAAAATTTTCTGACTGATAGAAAAATGAGGGCAGTAATCAGAGGCAATGTATCGGACTGGAGAAATGTCACAAGTGGAGTACCACAGGGTTCAGTTCTTGCACCAGTGATGTTCATTGTCTACATAAATGATCTACCAGTTGGTATACAGAATTATATGAACATGTTTGCTGATGATGCTAAGATAATAGGAAGGATAACAAATTTAAATGATTGTCATGCCCTTCAAGAAGACCTGGACAAAATAAGTATATGGAGCACCACTTGGCAAATGGAATTTAATGTTAATAAATGCCATGTTATGGAATGTGGAATAGGAGAACATAGACCCCACACAACCTATATATTATGTGAGAAATCTTTAAAGAATTCTGATAAAGAAAGAGATCTAGGGGTGGTTCTAGATAGAAAACTATCACCTGAGGACCACATAAAGAATATTGTGCGAGGAGCCTATGCCACGCTTTCTAACTTCAGAATTGCTTTTAAATACATGGATTTCGAAATATTAAAGAAATTGTTCACGACTTTTGTTAGGCCAAAGCTAGAATATGCAGCGGTTGTGTGGTGCCCATATCTTAAGAAGCACATCAACAAACTGGAAAAGGTGCAAAGACATGCTACGAAGTGGCTCCCAGAACTGAAGGGCAAGAGCTACGAGGAGAGGTTAGAGGCATTAAATATGCCAAAACTAGAAGACAGAAGAAAAAGAGGTGATATGATCACTACATACAAAATAGTAACAGGAATTGATGAAATCGATAGGGAAGATTTCCTGAGGCCTGGAACTTTAAGAACAAGAGGTCATAGATTTAAACTAGCTAAACACAGATGCCAAAGAAATATAAGAAAATTCACTTTCACAAACAGAGTGGTAGATGGTTGGAACAAGTTAGGTGAGGTGGTGGTGGAGGCCAAGACCGTCAGTAGTATCAAAGCGTTATATGACAAAGAGTGCTGGAAAGACGGGACACCACGAGCGTAGCTCTCATCCTGTAACTACACTTAGGTAATTACAGGGATGCCTGAAAGATCAGATAAAGTGGAATGCTGAGCTCAGATGCACATTCTCTCAGAACCCATGGTGAAACTCCATCTGGGCCAGCTGCTTTGTTCTTACTGAGCTCCTTTAGCATATTTTCCACTTCATCTCTAGCCACCTCTATGTGCTCTATGTTGTTCTCAGGAATTCTTATTGTGTCTGGTTCTCTGAAGATTTCATTTTGTACAAACACACTTTGGAACTTTTCGTTTAAAGTTTCACAGATTTCCTTTTCATTTTCCATGAATCTGTTTCCCATTTTCAACCTCTGGATATTATCCTTTACCTGCAATTTGTTTATTATGAAATTGTAGAATAGGCCCGGTTCTGTTCTACATTTATCCGCTATCCCTTTTTCAAAATTTCTTTCTGCCCCTCTCCTTACTGCCGTATAGTTGTTTCTCGCATCTTTGTATCGCTGGTATGTTTGTGGGTTTGGCCTCTTCCTATATTGATTCCATTTTTGTGTCTTTTGATCACTGGCCCTCTCACAATATCTGTTGAACCAATCCTGTTTTCTGGCCCTGCATCTCTGTTTTGGTACGAATGTTTGTGTGCCTTCATCGTATATTTTGCAAAATTTGGCATACATTTCATTTACTTCCCTGCCTAGCAACAAGTCTGTCCAATTACACTCATTTAAAAAAAATTCAAAGTTCCCCATAGTGACCTCTCCTTAAATCGAGTTTATCAACTGTTTCAATGTCCCCATTTTCTTCTAGATGATATCGTAAAGCATATTTAATGTCTAACAGGAAGTGATCACTTTCCCAAGGGAGGAAGGTACTGGATGTCAAATATCTCTTCTTCTTTCCTGGTGAATACTAGATCCAGTAGTGACGGTACATCTCCTTGGCTCATTCTTGTGGCCTGCTTTATGTGTTGATACAAGAATGTCTCCAGAATGAGGTTCACAAATCTGCATGTCCAAAAGTCCTCCGTACTTGCTTCATAGGCCTCCCAGTCTATTGCTTTAAAGTTGAAGTCCCCCAGTATCAACAGTCATGATTTATCTTTATCTGCTTGTACAATAATATCTCTCATGACCATTATGAGGCCCTCTCGTCTGTCATCCAGTTCTTCCTTTGTCCATGTGTTGCTTGCTGGTGGGCTGTAGGCATTTACAATTATCAGCTTATCATCCTGATTCCAGACCTGCAATGCCATCATGTCAATATCTCGAGGGTTTTCAAATATTAACTCTCTTACTTTCAGGTGTTCTTTCACCAGCACAGCCACTCATCCTCCTGTCTTAGTTTTCCTGTCACGTCTCCAAACTGAATAGCCCCTTGGGAATACGACTTCATTTAATATATTTCCTTCAAGTTTCGTCTCTGATAATGGGACAATATCTGGGACCCTAAGCTGAATTATATCTTGCAACTCCAAAGTTTTTGAACTCACTCCATCTATGTTAGTATATGCAATTTTCAGGAACATGTTCCCTTTCCCTTTGTTTTTTACACCCCCTTCCACTAATGATTTTGTTGCCTTGTTTTTATGTACCATTTCACAAGCTTTCCAGTCCCTGACACTTTGTAGAAAAAAAGAATTTCTGTCTTGAAATTTCTGTTTCTAGGGACAGTGTTCTGTCAGACAGAACACTGGACGCATAATCCTGTGGTCCCGGGTTCGATCCCGGGCGCCGGCGAGAAACAATGGGCAGAGTTTCTTTCACCCTGATGCTCCTGTTACCTAGCAGTAAATAGGTACCTAGGAGTTAGTCAGCTGTCACGGGCTGCTTCCTGGGGGTGGAGGCCTGGTCGAGGACCGGGCCGCGGGAACACTAAAGCCCCGAAATCATCTCTCAACATCTTCATTTCTATCTCCATTTAGACGTTTTGCCTCAATTAGGTTCATTTTCAGCTTTTCTCTGTCTTCCTTGGAGAGGTCTTAGTCTTATTGACCAAAGTTTGCCAACCTCATCACTCTGCAGTTTCCTGGCATTTCTAAGCACTTCCATCATGTTTTTCACTCCATTAAACGTCACCCTTAAGGGGCGGTTCTTTTCTTTCTCATATTTTCCTATTCTTCTAAAATCACTGACATTTTCCTTTGAGTGTTCTCCTAAACCTACTATTTTCTCTATGATTTTCATCTCTTCTGCTGCTCTGTCCACCCTAGATGAAATTTCCTTCTCTACACATCCAAAAATTATTATGGACTTAGTTCTATCTGCAGTGTTTTGTACCAGTTTACTGTTGGTAACCAGTTCTTTCCTAATTGCTTGCCTAATTTCTGCTTCTTGTTGGTCATTTCTGGTTTTGACTTCGGAACACACTTCTTTGATAGTCTCTTTCTCTTTTACAACTTGGGCATATGTCTCTTTTATTTCTTCTTTATACTTTTCTAGTTCTTTATTCACCTCCTCTAACAGTACACAGTAGAGGTAATCTGCTGTCATTGTTCTTTATTAGTTTAATTTATGATAATTTTACATGTAACTTTTGCATAATTTATTTTATATCCCCATTATTTTGCATTTTTTGCAGAATTGTGGAAAAGATTTTGAAGATTTTGAGAAGAACAAGAAGTTTGACTTTGATGATAAAGAGTGACTCATCCACACACGTGTACAAAGACTCGCTAATTTGTAAATAATGTATAGAAAATAAGTATTTTTTTTTAGCAAGTTAAGACTAAAATATTGAAGGAACTCTATGAAGAGGATAATTATTTATGTGGCTCACGTGCAGTAGTGTGGCTCACATGCAGCACAGTAGTGTGTGGCTCACGTGCAACACAGTAGTGTGGCTCACGTGCAACACAGTAGTGTGTGGCTCACATGCAACACAGTAGTGTGTGGCTCACATGCAACACAGTAGTGTGTGGCTCACATGCAACACAGTAGTGTGTGGCTCACATGCAACACAGTAGTGTGTGGCTCACATGCAACACAGTAGTGTGTGGCTCATGTGCAACACAGTAGTGTGTGGCTCACATGCAACACAGTAGTGTGTGGCTCACATGCAACACAGTAGTGTGTGGCTCACATGCAACACAGTAGTGTGTGGCTTACGTGCAACACAGTAGTGTGGCTCACATGCAACACAGTAGTGTGGCTCTCAGCAACACAGTAGTGTGGCTCACGTGCAACACAGTAGTGTGGCTCACAACACAGTAGTGTGGCACATGCACACAGTAGTGTGGCTCACGTGCAACACAGTAGTGTGGCTCACATGCAACACAGTAGTGTGTGCTCACATGCAACACAGTAGTGTGTGGCTCACATGCAACACAGTAGTGTGTGGCTCACGTGCAACACAGTAGTGTGGCTCTCTGCAACACAGTAGTGTGGCTCACGTGCAACACAGTAGTGTGGCTCACATGCAACACAGTAGTGTGTGGCTCACATGCAACACAGTAGTGTGTGGCTCACATGCAACACAGTAGTGTGTGGCTCATGTGCAACACAGTAGTGTGTGGCTCACATGCAACACAGTAGTGTGTGGCTCACGTGCAACACAGTAGTGTGGCTCACGTGCATCACAGTAGTGTGGCTCACGTGCATCACAGTAGTGTGGCTCACATGCAACACAGTAGTGTGGCTCACGTGCAACACAGTAGTGTGGCTCACATGCAACACAGTAGTGTGTGGCTCACGTGCAACACAGTAGTGTGGCTCACATGCAACACAGTAGTGTGTGGCTCACGTGCAACACAGTAGTGTGTGGCTCATGTGCAACACAGTAGTGTGGCTCACGTGCATCACAGTAGTGTGGCTCACATGCAACACAGTAGTGTGTGGCTCACGTGCAACACAGTAGTGTGGCTCACGTGCAACACAGTAGTGTGGCTCACATGCAACACAGTAGTGTGTGGCTCACGTGCAACACAGTAGTGTGGCTCATGTGCAACACAGTAGTGTGGCTCACGTGCAACACAGTAGTGTGGCTCACGTGCAACACAGTAGTGTGTGGCTCACGTGCAACACAGTAGTGTGTGGCTCATGTGCAACACAGTAGTGTGGCTCACATGCAACACAGTAGTGTGGCTCATGTGCAACACAGTAGTGGCTCATGCAACACAATAGTGCTCACTTTCAACACAGTAGTGTGTGGATCATGTGCAACACAGTAGTGTGTGGCTCATGTGCAACACAGTAGTGTGTGGCTCACGTGCAACACAGTAGTGTGGCTCACATGCAACACAGTAGTGTGTGGATCATGTGCAACACAGTAGTGTGTGGCTCATGTGCAACACAGTAGTGTGTGGATCACGTGCAACACAGTAGTGTGTGGCTCATGTGCAACACAGTAGTGTGTGGCTCATGTGCAACACAGTAGTGTGTGGATCACGTGCAACACAGTAGTGTGTGGATCACGTGCAACACAGTAGTGTGTGGCTCATGTGCAACACAGTAGTGTGTGGCTCACTTGCAACACAGTAGTGTGTGGCTCACTTGCAACACAGTAGTGTGTGGATGTGCATAGTGTGTGGCTCACTTGCAACACAGTAGTGTGTGGCTCATGTGCAACACAGTAGTGTGTGCTCATGTGCAACACAGTAGTGTGGCTCACGTGCAACACAGTAGTGTGTGGCTCACGTGCAACACAGTAGTGTGTGGCTCACATGCAACACAGTAGTGTGTGGCTCATGTGCAACACAGTAGTGTGTGGCTCATGTGCAACACAGTAGTGTGGCTCACGTGCAACACAGTAGTGTGTGGCTCATGTGCAACACAGTAGTGTGGCTCATGTGCAACACAGTAGTGTGGCTCACTTGCAACACAGTAGTGTGGCTCACGTGCAACACAGTAGTGTGTGGCTCACGTGCAACACAGTAGTGTGTGGCTCACGTGCAACACAGTAGTGTGTGGCTCACGTGCAACACAGTAGTGTGTGGCTCACGTGCAACACAGTAGTGTGTGGCTCACGTGCAACACAGTAGTGTGTGGCTCACGTGCAACACAGTAGTGTGTGGCTCACGTGCAACACAGTAGTGTGGCTCACGTGCAACACAGTAGTGTGGCTCACGTTCAACACAGTAGTGTGTGGCTCATGTGCAACACAGTAGTGTGTGGCTCACGTGCAACACAGTAGTGTGTGGATCACGTGCAACACAGTAGTGTGTGGCTCATGTGCAACACAGTAGTGTGTGGCTCACTTGCAACACAGTAGTGTGTGGATCATGTGCAACACAGTAGTGTGTGGCTCATGTGCAACACAGTAGTGTGGCTCACTTGCAACACAGTAGTGTGTGGCTCACGTGCAACACAGTAGTGTGTGGCTCACGTGCAACACAGTAGTGTGTGGCTCATGTGCAACACAGTAGTGTGTGGCTCATGTGCAACACAGTAGTGTGGCTCATGTGCAACACAGTAGTGTGGCTCACGTGCAACACAGTAGTGTGTGGCTCATGTGCAACACAGTAGTGTGGCTCATGTGCAACACAGTAGTGTGGCTCACTTGCAACACAGTAGTGTGGCTCACGTGCAACACAGTAGTGTGTGGCTCATGTGCAACACAGTAGTGTGTGGCTCACGTGCAACACAGTAGTGTGTGGCTCATGTGCAACACAGTAGTGTGTGGCTCATGTGCAACACAGTAGTGTGTGGCTCACATGCAACACAGTAGTGTGGCTTACGTGCAACACAGTAGTGTGACTCACGTGCAACACAGTAGTGTGGCTCACGTGTAACACAGTAATGTGGCTCTCAGCAACACAGTAGTGTGGCTCACATGCAACACAGTAGTGTGGCTCACATGCAACACAGTAGTGTGTGGCCCTCAGCAACACAGTAGTGTGGCTCACGTGCAACACATTAGTGTGTGGCTCACATGCATCACAGTAGTGTGGCTCACATGTAACACAGTAATGTGGCTCTCAGCAACACAGTAGTGTGACTCACGTGCAACACAGTAATATGCATACCTTGGTGAGACACTATAGAATTATGTGATAGTTATTTGTTACATATTTTAAATGAAGAACAAGTGAAATTGAGAAGCGTTTTAACACAGTGTTGTGGGCAGTTAGTGCCCAGTGTTTGTTTACTGCGTCGCAGATGTTGTTGATCTGCCATCTCTTTATTGCTAATTTTCATACAGTGTTTCTTCAAAATTATCAGTAATATTCAGTTACCTTCGCTGCACTGGATAAATAAGTCACTGTATATGCTAATAATAATTTGTTTGATATATTTTCAAAATGATTTATTTATTGTTTGCACACTGGTGGCTTGATTTATTGGCTTATGGCCTGTAATGGGAGAGAAGCCATGCCTTGTGAGAAGCAAATTGAACTTATAATGTAATATTTCTTTGTACAAACATTTGGTCAGGTTGTTATGGACAGGTGAGAATGTTTGCTGCAGTCCATATCAAAATATTTTCCTGCAAACAAATCTTAAGTACAGTACTTTAATTCCAGTTACGGATTAAGATTGGTTTTGGCATACGAGCCTAATGTCTTCCGCTCTGGGACATACCTGCTACACATTGATAATATTTGGTGGACATGTAGACTCAACAATTATGCATTTGCTGAAGTGAATTATAAATCAGTAGTTATAAAAAGGTATATGTCCCACATATAGTAATTTCTTATCAAGAAATCTCACGGTAGTTTAAGTTGGCTTCAAGAATCCTAGTTTCTTGACATGGTCGTGTGCAATTTGGAGAGTGAGAATAACTATGATATTTAATTTGGGTGAAAGACTGTGAGAGATGGGCACATTAATTGCAAGATGTTCATGTTAGTGAGGGTGTGGCAGGATGCACGAGGCGACAACTTTAATGCCAGATGCAGTTGCCAAAACTTGTTAAAAAAGATGAGAGGCGACACCTGATGTGGAGGATACAAGTGATGGCGCTGTTACGTAGAATGTAGTTGCCGACATTTGTTAAACAAGATGTGAGGCGACACCTGATGTGGAGGCTGAAAGTGATGGCGCCCATTACGCACGATGCAGTTGCCGACACTTGTTAAACAAGGTGAGAGGCGACACCTGATGTGGAGGCTGAAAGTGATGGCGCCCATTACGCACGATGCAGTTGCCGACACTTGTTAAACAAGGTGAGAGGCGACACCTGATGTGGAGGCTGTGATGGCAACGCGTTGCCGACACTTGTGGCGACACCTGATGTGGAGGCTGCAAGCGATGGCGCCCATTACGTAAAATAATGCCAACAGCTATTATGTGCACCTCTCTCCTCTTTTCTCTGAACTTTCCTTTCTAAGCACTTATATATTTATCTTTATTACATATTTATTAATACTCCATGGAGTTCTTTGATTTTAAAGAAAAACTAAAATTATAATAGATTAACTCTAGTATGTATTTCTCTGTTTTATCAACTGTACTTGAAATTCTCTCTCATACTGCAAAACCTTTTATGGAAATACTCAACATTATTCTTTTCCAGTCACTTGTTTGCTCTGTACATGTGAAGATCAACAGCAAGCAATATTAAAGCATGCATATATATATATATATATATATATATATATATATATATATATATATATATATATATATATATATATATATATATATATATATATATATATATATATACATATACATATATACATATATACATATACATATATACATACATACATACATACATACATACATACATACATACATACATACATACATATACATATACATATACATATACACATATACATATATACATATACATATATACATATACATATATATGCGTGCGCACACACACTGCATACGAATATACATACACATATGTGAACACATGTATATATTCATATATTTGTGTATGTATGTATGTATGTACATGAACTCTTACATACACATGTGTGTGTGTGAGAGAGAGAGAGCGAGAGAAATGAGAGGAGAGATTGGATTTAATTAGATACTAACATTTTCTCTGGTGAAAGTCTGTGAGTGCACAAGCAAAATGCATCTCATAAGTATTTAGCCATCTTTATATATTGAATATAAAGCTACACATTCACTTTAATTGAGTTTCTGCTAATTATTCACCAAGATGGTTACTTAGTATTAGTAAGCTCATCAGCCGTTGGTAAGTTTTAAACATCTATTAGAGGTGTTCTTACACTAACTTAGCTAGATATAAACATTCACAGTATTCTAATGCTAAGTT